CCCTTGTGTTTATCCATATGTTGTAGTTATCCTAATCATTATAGGATTAGGATAATCATCCCCTTTATTGTTGTAATCCTTATCAGCTTAGGTTTATGTTTATCTCTAAGCTTAAGGATGTATATATATGTATGTATGTGACCACGTGATTAATAAGACAATACACAGAGTTACAACAACCTTCTTTATTCCACAACAATTTGTTTCTTGTGCTTATTTTTTGTGTGTTTATGCTATTTGACTATTTATTAGTATCTTCTTTCTTTTTTTTCCTTGGTTCAACGACTGTTTAATATCTAAGTATGACATTTTAAGTGTTTTCTCTCTTTTTTAATATCTACTAGTTTTTGACTCGCGCGCCCGCGCGGATGTATGTTCGATGTAATTATATATTTTTCATAGTTTAAAAAACTTTCATGTTATTGTTATTGAATTTTTATTTTGGTGTATCTTGTTTATTTTGTGTAGTATACATTTATAAATTATGAAGTTTTATTCTTCTTTATTGTATTTTTTTCTTTGTTTTGGTAAACTAAACATAAAATGTATAATATTAGAGTATGTAGTTGAGGTTTAATAGTTTTATTAAATAAGAAAATTTAAATTTTGTGATGAATATATTTTCTTAATATTTTTATATAGCTTTAAATATAAAAAAACTTAGTTATATAACTAAGCTTATTCTACTAATGAAAAGATATATCAAGTTTTTTTTTTCTTTTGCCTGACTGATATGGTATTTGTTAAGATGAATGCTTAAATATAGAAATGGATAGTGGAAGGTAAGATAGTTTAGATTAATATTTAATATTTTAAGTGATTTGCAAGATTAAAAAAAAGATTTTGTATTTGTTATAAGGATTGCTTAAAGATAGGAAAAGATTGTGTAAGGTAATTCTTTTAGGAAAACAATAAATGATTTGTTTTGAGTTTGAATTTTAAAATTTTATTGTGAAAAAATCATATTGTTTGGGTATTTTTATGTTGAATAAGATGATTTCAAATAATACTGATATGACTTATGATCTTAATCTATGACATATATTGACCAAAAATAAAAAATAAAAAAAAATCTATGACATATATTTGTATATACCTAATACTATTGTTTCCGCAGACACAAAACTGAAATTTTGATGCGATGAATGACATAAATTAAATTTGATGTTTTATAAATGATAAACAATGGAGTGTAGGTGTAAGCAGCAATTGTAATTTAATTGTTTTGTAATGTATAAGTTTAGTAATGAATAAATTGTTTTAGTTAATGTATAGAATGATATGGGTTAGGATGTGGTAGGATATGGCTTAACGAAGTGGTAGGATGTGGGTTAGTAATGGTTTTGTAATTACATAGTATAATAATCAACCAAACGTAACGGTATAATATGTCGGTTCAGAAAAGAAGCAAAAAATGATTTTATCTCAGTGGCAAAACTTGGTAATTTTTAAGAAAAAGTAAGGGTTATTTTTTTGTATTTCCCCTTTAATAGTTTAGATATATCTAGGAAAATATAGATTGTCCCACTGCCCGTGGATCGTTCATAATTAATGATAGATGTGGAAACTTATTAGTTAATGTGAGCTGAATGAGATCTTTTGTAAAAAAAATAATAATTCAAAAGTCTAATAACTCAATAAACAGTCTTTTCTTTTTGAAACACTACCCAACTAGGTGTTTTGCCCGCACTTGCGGGCATAATTCTGTTATGAATATTTATTAGTTGATGCTTTATTAATTTAAAAATCAACATAATAAGTTATTTTATGTCTTCAAAAAGTACAAATCAAACATTATATAATTATCAATGACAAAACTCAAACATCAGAAATATTTAAAAGAATATATTTCTATAATTATTTTGCTTGATTTATTTTAATTATAATATTTGTACAATATTTTTACTTAATTTATATTTAATTCTAGTTTTTATATTTTAATTTTAAATTTATAATAGAAAAACACATTTTCAAGATAACAATATAATGTATAAGTTATTTATTTTCTAAAAATATAATATGATAATTTTTAATTATATAATATTAGAAAATTATGACATATAATCAAAATTACCTAAAATCATGGATAACTTAATGAATTAGCAAAGTCACTTGAGTGATGATTTATATTTAACTAATAATAGATAACTTTTCTATTTTAATTTGTATAATATAAATATATGTTTTCAAGATAACAATATAATACATAAAAATTACCTTATTGTATAAAATTATAATATTATTAGTGTGAATTTATTTTAATTATAGAATAACTACAACGTTTTATATCTTAATTTTAAATTTTTAATAGAAAATATATTTTCAAAACATCAACTTAATACGTAAGAAGTATCTTATTTGATAAGAATCTGATACTATTAATATAATTTTTTAAAAAATATTTAATAAATTATATATAAAAAATTATATAATTTATGATAAATTATCAAAATTATCTAAAATCATGGAAAATATGACAAATAATCAAACATCAATTTTGCTTTTTAAGTAATGATATAGATTTTTTTACATGTTAATTTAAAATTTTGTAATAGAAAAATATATTTTCAAAAAAAAACATAATACATAAGAATTAACTTATTTTCTAAAATATCATATTATTAATATATATTAGTTTTAGTTATATAAACAATAATAAAAATTAAAGAAATTCTTATAAATGATTAAAATTACCTAGGATCATAGAGACAAATCAACAAAATAACTTTTCAAATAATTATTTTGATGATTTTTTAATAATTAATAATATCATTTTTATATCTTAATTTTAATTTTTATAATAGGAAAATATATTTTCAAAATAACAACATACTATTATCTTATTTTAGAAAAAATATAAAATTATTAATAGAAATTCGTTTTAGTTATATATTAATAAATAATTTTTATATCTTAATTTAAACTTTAAGTTTTATATATAAAAATATATTTGAAGATAACAACATAATTCACAAGAATTATCTTATTTTCTAAAAATATGATATATTCATATAAATTCATTTTATTTATAAATAAACTATATATAAATATTAAAAATATGATAAATAAACAAAATTACCTAAATTTATGGAGAACATGACAACTAAGCAAATTTACTTCTTAAATAATAGTATAGATAAACAGTCTAAAATAACAAATAAATAAAATAATCTTCGACGATATATATATATTTTTCTCAATTTTTTTTTTTTAGTTCTGCCGTGTTTATGTTAACATGCCGTTGTATTGGCTTCTTCTTTTTTCCCTAAAATAATGGCTTCTTATATTAGACCACCCATAATGGTGGATTTGTGGATGGAGTCCTTACCAATAAAAAAATATTTTTTTTTGTTTGAATAGTCCCCAACCCATTCTTAACACCTGCTTTTTTCTTAGTTAACACACCCACGATTTTCTCGAGCTTAGCCACCTTTTGGTCACTCTCAAAGCATTGATCCTTGACCATCCTAAGTTGTGTTTGCGTTTCAAGAAGCTCCTCTTGAATCGCCAAATCCCACCATTTCCAGATGTGAGTGTCTACATCGTCAACGTTGGGGCAGTAGAAGTACCTCCTTCCTGGATCTTTTGCAGTGTACGACGTCTCAAAAACTGGATCACTACCGCAATAGCATATCCTTGGTATGCCTTCATCAGCCTCAGGTTCCATTCTGTACTGAACCGCCGCTGCACATGTGAAGCTACTATCGCCTTCATCCGCATAGAGAGCAGCCTCTGCTTCAAGTAAGGAGTTCATGTCGAAGTCCTCTGATGAAGAAGGCTGCGTGTAACTATAGTCTTGTCTCATGGTCCGTTTGCCTGCAAAAAAAAAAAACAGAACAAAACTAAATATTAAGAAGACGAAGCAAAAGAAGATAGTGAAGCTTAAGAACACAACTAGGCTGTTTATTAAGAACACATTTACTTAGATATATGATAAACTCAACTTATTGAAACCCTAAGCTTTCATCACAAACTGAGATCCGAGAACCAAAAGAAACCCTAATGTGTTCAAGCAGAAAACGAAAATAAACTGAGACCGAAAACAAAATCGATCACAAAATCGAATTGAAACCCTAAGATTTCATCACAAACTGAAACTGAACCCTAAGCTTTCATCGCCTCGACTGAAACAGAAAACAAAATCGAATTGAAACCCTAATCCTTTTAAAAAATCATACCGAAAACGAATTCAAACCTAATAATCTGAATCGAGCTAACTACAAAACAAATCGATTCAACCGAGATACGAAACATAGAGGGAGACGAGAATAAAAAACTGACTTAATCTCTCCTTAGATCTACCACAGAAGAACAACGAACCTAATCTCTCTTAGATCTACCACAGAAGAACAACGAACCTAAAATCTATCGTTAGAAGAGCAGAGAAGAGGAAGATCGACGGTGGCTTCTATCGCCTTCGTCTCTCGAGCTCTGATTTTTTTTTTCACCCTTTCGATACCAAATGAATTTTTTTCCCAACACGAGAAAACTCTATTGCTCATCGGCCCAACCAAACGAGGACACGTGCACGAAGGACTGATTGTTTCGGGTCCTTACACACAGACTCAACCGTACAGATCCTTCTAATTTTGAGCCCAAAAAAAATTATTTTTAATCCAAGATACGTAAGGATTCGGCCCACGTACCCCGTTGCGGGTGGTCTTAGATTGATCCGACATAGTTGTTTTTAGCGCAATATTAATATAGCATACACTAATATTATTAGATATCAAAGCAGAAAACAAATACAAATCAACATTTCTCGCACAAGAATCATCGTGTGTGACAAATAAATACCCAAAACAAACTATATAATCATATATAGTTGCTAGAGATGGGGAAACCAATATATAAAGGCGCAGAGAAGAATTTCAAAGACATGTGTTGAGTAGCTCTCTGTAATCTTTACGGATTCCCCAAAGAATCTCACTGCATTTTTTCATGCTTGGTCTCGAACCTCGGTGAGGAGCTAGACATTGAAACGCCATCTCCAACACCTTCTCTAGTGCTAAGTTGTTTGCTGGATTTCGTTCTAGCTTCGGGTCCAAAACCGATATTGTATCTCCACTCGTGAACTTCTTAATGGCCTGAACATATCAGTTACAATTAAACTGTCAACAAAAAAACGAAACAAACATACATACTAAGATGATAATATTGAAGTCAAGTTTACCCATCTAATGGTGATGCGTTCTTTCTGTTCTCTGTTAAGCTCAATGGGACGGCGACCAGTGAGAAGTTCGACGAGTAGAACACCAAAGGAGTAGACGTCGCTTTTCTCGGTGAGCTGATAGGTAGTTAAGTATTCAGGGTCTAAGTAACCAGCGGTTCCTTTGACTTGTGTTGAGACATGAGTGGCTCCTGATTCAGTGTCTGGAGCTAATCTGGCAAAACCGAAATCAGCAACCTTGGCTCTGAAGTTGTCAGTGAGGAGAATGTTTGAAGATTTAATGTCTCTGTGGATGAGAGGTGGCTCTATACACATAAATATATATGTCAAAGATGGAAGAAATATGAAATAAAAATTACATACAGGTAATGATGGAGATAACTCACGTGTATACATGTGAAGATAGGTAATGGCGTGAGCTATATCAGTTGCGATGTCTAGCCGAGTTGCCATGTCGAGTGTCTTTCCTTCCTTACCTATTCAATATCAGATTCCGTTAAAATAACATTGTGACTGAAATATAAATATAACAAAGAAGAAAGAGAATGTACTAACAATCCAAGTGATCTCTGAGATTGCCATTGGGAACATACTCGACAACAAGAAGCTTCTCATCATTGTGAACCAAATAACCATAATATTTGACCAAACTCAAATGTGTGACTTGAGCCAATGTTTTAATCTCACTCATGAACTCTGCACCTTGACGGTCGTCTTTGTGTAAACTCTGCAAAATAATAATGTGAGAGTTTGTAACTTTGTAATACTAAGAAAAAGAAAAAAAGAAAAGAGGATATATAAAGACCTTTTTGGCACGTTTGACAGCAACGGTGGAGCCATCACGAAGTTTGACCTTGTAAACAGTGCCGAACCCTCCTTGTCCGATCCTGAAAGACGGTGAGAAGTTCTTTGTGGCCGCGTAGATTTCATCGAAGCTGAATCTTTGATTCTCTGTTTCATTCCCATTCCCATTCCCATTCCCATTACCATAATAATGTTTCTGCACACTTCCTGTTGAGCTCCGTCTACTACGTACATCATGTTCTGTTGAGATGAACATTAAGGAAACATTAAAATTCTAAAGAGCCATCTCCTATTGTAGTATTATTATTATATATATACCGGAGTCGTTGAAGCTCTTGGAGGAAACGGAATCAGGAGGGGTGAAGCAGCTGATGAAGATCCCTGAGATCCAGCGACCGAGGGAGTTAGGTGGTTTGTCGGTGGTGGAGGAAGGAGCTGGTGAACGATCAGGAAGAGTACTTGTGCTGTACGAAGATGATGCGGTTGCAGGTGAAGAAGATCCGCCTGTGTAGCTATGCCTCCGACGACTTGGCATCGAAGATAACCAAAACAAAAGAAGAAGAAGAACAAAAAACTATCTCAAAAAAAAAGAGCAATGGAGGAAAGGAAGAGTCGCAGAGACTGACTTTTCAAAATTCAACTTGCTTTGTACTTTGATTATACTGTTTGGTTGCGCTATTTATTGTCCAGCTGTACACTTTTTTTTTAAAACGTTTCTACGACTAATCATGTACTATGATCATTATATACCCTGGGGTTGCATTCTTTTAAAACTGTTTATTTTATATCTAAGCGAATGATTTTGTAATAATTTCATCATTAATTTAGATTTTAAAGTCAACCGTGTGAGTTGTAAACGTTGAAATTTTAAGATATATTTTTTCCCCAATTAAAAATTAGTAGAAAGAACTTTTGTAAACTTCTAAATTTGGTTAGACGGTCTTATAAGAAAAACGAAGACTATAAATATTAAAAATGCCAATATAAGGTGGAGTAAAAAGTTATTTTAGTAGTAGTATTTTTAACACGTTAACGACCATCTAACCATCGGTTTGATTTACTACTAATTTAGCGTTTTCTTCAGCCGCCACCATATTAATAAATGCCAGACGGATCCATCTCTCCAAAATGCAATGATCTTAAATCATTTCATTTATCATTCGCATTTAATTTTTGTATTTTTTACTTTTCTGGAGTTTAGAAAAACATACCAAGAAAGTATATATATAAACATTTTTAGTAACTTTACTAGATTACACTGTACAAATGCCATCCCCATTAGTTTATTAAAAGTCATATTAATGACTTTGATTTGAAGTGAATCAAAATAGGATGGGATAGGTTAGGTTAAGGATGGAAGATTGTTAACCATAGCAGTTGAAGGAAGGTTGATATTTGACCATACAGTCAACTAAACAAATAGTCTCCGACAACGACCAAGTGTTCAACATATTTGACCTACGAAATTAATGGGCCATGGTAAAGCCCACTATTATAAAACAATAGCCCGTTAACTTAACGACGTCGTGTTAATAATAAGTATTTAATTTAGCAGGCGAATTAAGCGGCTTACCAGTATTAATTAGTTGATTATGGTGATGAGTTAGTTAAGTGGAAGCGAGAAAAAAACTCTGTCGCCAGAGCTTTTCGTTCTCCTCACGTTTTCGCAAGCTGAGGAGAGAATACGAATCTCCGGCGACATCTCAGGTTAACTCCGTTTTTATTTTTAACTCATGTTTTCGTGTTTGTTTTTTTTGGTTTTGTTTGTGTTTACTACCGATTCTTCAGTTTTAGGGTTCGCTTACGAAAAGGGTTGAATTGTTTGTAATGTTGTTGTGCTTTGGACCCTTTCAATATAAAATGTTAACAAAAAAAAAGGATTCGCTTACTGTTTGTGTTGATTTTACTTGGTTATGGATATGTGTTTTCTGTTTATATAGATCAATATTTAATTTGTAGTTTTTTTAAGGATACGCGATTTCATGATGTTCTTCTAGAGTTATGACTATGAGAAGAAGATGTTAATGGTATATAATTATAGATAGCCAGTTTTGAAAATGAGTTTGTTTTTTTTTGAATTGTATTACTGCTCGTTGCCACTTGGGTGACTCCTGTTTTCAACTTGATTTTTGTTTAACTAACACTGTACCAATACTTCATCTTCTTGCATTTCTTGAAAACATCTGTTAATATAAGTGTGTAGTTAAAAGTGATTCACTTTTCTTTTTTTTCTCTTGTTGTGCAGCTCTCAAAGGGATGCTACGATTGTTGTTGGCTGCAACTCTTACGTGAGTGTATTATTTGTAGTTGGTGACAAAAAATGGGAGGTTGCTGGTCTTCTTCTCCTTCTTCAAGGCATCCGCATCTTGCTGGAGCACCTCTTTACTATTATGTCAGTTATTCCTTTTCTCTTTAGCTTCTTTCTATGCTTTTTCACCTTAATGGTTTTGCACATAATAATCTGACTTATAGTTGCTAAATTTGTTCTGATTCTGTAAAATTTAACACTCACATTATCATTGAAAAAAAGGAATGAAGTTTCTCTATTTACTCAAGTTTTGTTTTGTTACACAGTGTCCAGAATCTTTTGAAGAACGTGGGCCTTCAAGAGCTCGTGCTGGTGTGGGATCAGCAGCAACATTCACCACCACGGGTCTTTTGGCTGATATTATTGGTTTGGAGACATCATCTATACCGAATACCTTTTATGCTCCTGCTCCTCTTCCATTTGATCTGCTTTTTGGGAGACCAGTTTCCGATTCTATCAAAGGAAAGATTAATGAAAGCAGTTTTGAAACATGTGAAGACAAAGACTGTAAAACTCAACCCATCTCAATGATTCTCTCCCTGAGTGAATCAGATCTCTCCAAACACAAAACATTCAAGAACCAATTGGTAGACGAAGAGGAGGAAGACTCTTGCCCCATTTGCTTTGAAGGTAAAATAAATCAAAATCTTTAAATAATGAACTTTTTCTTTAGAGCAAGTAACGTCATGGGTTCATTTGCTTCCCTAATGCAGATTATGAAGCTGAGAACCCCAAAATAAAGACAAATTGTGAGCATGATTTTCATCTCTCTTGTATTCTTGAGTGGATGGAAAGAAGCGATGGTTGTCCTATATGTGATAAGGTGTGTTTCCTCCTTCCCTTGTGACTCACCTGATTTTTCTGTTATATAGGCTGATTCATAAAAGAGTGTTTTGTGATGTGATGGTCATAGAATCCATTTTACCACTCTTTACCCAATTCGGTACCTATCTAATAGAATTTGCTAATAGTCTAATTCCTATTGTTATCTGGCAATTATTGCTGCTAAAATGCATACTTTGTTGTTGACATACTAACGTTCCAATTATTTTCTTGTCCCAATAACTCAGGAGGTTGTGCTTGATGATTGCTTGAACTAGCATCAATGTCCTCTGGTTTGGAAATTTTAAGCGGTTACATACTTTGCTTACATCTCTACGTTAGCGTCTGTTTTGTCAATTGGGTTATGTTCCTGACTTGGTGCAGTCATATAGAAAATATATATACATAACAAGTGTAAATATATATCATCAGCGTCTTGCTCCTGTGTGATCTTTGGTGGTGAGGAGGGGGTGATATAAAAGGAAAGAGCATTTCAGTCTGTGATTGTTTTGCAACAAAATCAAGTTGTCATCATGTTTGCAGTCTTGATCCATGATTCTATCTATAGTGTGAATCGTGTTATTTTAGGGAAATCAAAATGATTTCTTGTGTTATACTTATGATGATCAAAAATAGTTATTTCAAATTAAAGGGGAGAACACCTTTTTGAGTTATCATTGTTATCACCGTCAATTTGTTTCCATCTTTTTTCTTCTTTTTTTTCATAATGAACAGGCATGGTTTTGGTCAAGAGTACACTTATTTTCCTCCTGATACAAAACAAAAATAGCAACGTGAATTTTCAAGTTGGATAAAGAAAAGAGATTCTTATTTGATGTGTGATAATAGTAACTCCATGATGTAAAAAGGAAGAATAAAAAGGAATTGAATATTCTAAAATCCAACATGATCCACATGATCCTGTTCCTAGTCTTGTCGTGTGTACGTTTGATAATCCCTCCCTTGTCTGCATTTATGTATAATTAATTAAGATTAGGAAAATAATTTAGAAAGTTAATGAAAGAAGAGAAAAGGAGGTAAGACTATTACTGGTCCGCGGGTTTGACTTGGAAGCCACTTATGTCTGCCACCTCCTTCTCCTTTCTCAATTCCTCTTCTGCCCTCTCCCAATTTTCAATAAAAAAATACTCTCTATGTTTCAAAAAGATAAATATTTTAATTTTTTATACATATTTATAAAAAAAACATAACATTTTGATTACTAATGAATAATTTATTATAAATAACAATTTTTGTATTTTTTTAACAAATTAAATTTGAAAAAACATAATTAATTTTTTGTAATCTATAGCTTTTCATTAAATCCTCCTATACATTAAAAGAGAAGTCACTTTGACACGTGGCACTCACACAGCCATTCTCAGAAGAATTCTAGCGATTCTATTGGTTGATTTTTTAGAATTTATTTTTTGATTTATTTTTACCATCGACAACCTAATAGGAAAGCAACACTAATTACTAACCTTATTACATATTACTTGCACAAGAATATTAATTAA